CAGCTTCTTCCTCTCTCTCCACGTGTTGCAGCGCATCCTCGTGTTCCACTGCTAACTCAATTAGCATTTGATCATTCACTGCACCAGCCCCATTATTGCACAGACCCATAATAGATTCCTCACCAATGTCCCTTTCTTCCCCATCCTCACCTGACAAAAAGTTGTCTCTTGATAAATTCCCATACACCATAACTGAGTGTCTTCCTCATCGGAATTCCTCTCGTGCTCCTTCGCCTCCGATGAGTCCGCAGTTTTTTCTGCCGAGGATTGTGAATCAACAAGAACTGCATCCTCTTCTCGGTTGCAATTCAATGAGACACTTCTGGACGTAGGAATTTCCATTACTCTAATTCTAAAAATATCTCTTCCTGCTTCCAAGTCTACCACTCCATCAATAGATTCTTTCCTCGAGGTTGCTATCAAAATTGACATCTCCTCACATCCCAATTCTTGAAGATCATTTTCTCCCAGTGCAAGGCATTCTCCCCATTGTTTTGCAATCCTCATAAACGTGTTATGATTCCAGCAATGAAGTGGCAGCCAAATAGTTTAATCCACGTTACTCTTTCCGACGCTCTGTAGGATTTGCATTAGTAGACACTTTGATCGTTTGCTCTTTAAGGTTATAAAACAATCCTCATTTGGTTCCCTTGGGGTATCCTACAAACATGCAAAATTATTTCATTGAGGCTAACTTCTTCGCATCATTATCCATTATGTGTGCTAAACATCCCAAATCGTAAGATTAATTAGGCCGAACTTCCCGCCATGCAAATCTCAAATAGATTTCTAGGTGAAGACTTTCATTGGTATGTAATTTAGAATGTAACAATATATTTTTAGCGTATGACCCTAAATATACATTGGTAATTATGAATAGCTTAGCATTGATCAAACCATGTCCATTAAGGTTTGATTTCTTATCGCTTCCTTACCCTTTAATTGTGGAGTTCCTGACGCAGTCAGTTGAGATAAGATGTCATTCTTTGTGAGATATCCTAGGAACTCGTCTAAAAATATTTCTCAACTCGATCTAAGCGAATTATATTAAAGGATAAACTCAATTGTTTTTTCACTTCCGTAAGAAACTCTTGAAACTTATCAAAGGCTTCACTATTGTGATGCATTAGGTATACATATTCTTATATGGAATAATCGTCTATGAAAGTTAATGTACTATTCATAACTACCTCTCTCTCAATGACATTCATGGGGCCACATTTGTTAGTGCATATAAGTTCCAGGAGTTAATTAGCGCTTATATCTTTACACATTATATCATTTTAGTCTTGATTCTAAGATGATTTACCATCAACCTTTACACACATTTAAATTTGATTCTAATTTTATAATATCAAACAAATCATTAATGTAACCCCCTAGCCCTAGCATAGATGTTACGACCGAATTTCGGAGACCACACCAACGATAAATCATAAAACATAACTCATTTAAAACTCTCATAGACAAATAATAATAAATATTTATGACCAATATAATATTGCATGCAAAACCGTAAAGTCTAATGTCCCAAAATATGTAATAGATCTCGAATCTGATAAAAATGTAAAATATAATATCAATCTGAAATAGACATACTGTATAAAATAATATAATTTCACTAGTCGACCCTCCAAGTACAAGAACGATCCTATCGGTCATGAGAATCTGAAAAATAAGAAACTAACGGGATGAACTAAAGAGTCTAGTGTGTCCTCTAAGTGTGAAACAACCACAACATAAAAAAACATGTCATATATTAAAACATCATACATATAATGGATGCAATGCAATGCGGTTGTTGGATTTACCATCTCGATGAGATGAACCATTCGATAGTTGGAATTATCATCCTAGTGGATGAACCAGTCGGGAATTGGAATTATCATTCCAATGAATGAACCAATCGGTAATTCGGTCACTTCTGTAATGCTATAACATACGTAACGATATGAGTAATGCACATGCTCATAGTAAAATAGAAGAATCACAACATAATCGATTCGTCATGCTTTACTCGCTGATAGAAACATAATTCAATTATTCGATTAAGGGACACATCGGTAGATATAAAACATAGATTTACTTATCACATATCATTTCTTAACATATCACAAACATAGCACATTCATATACACATGTAGCACGAAACAAGGAACACACCTCTAGTTATTTGTAACACTAACTCTAAACATGTTTTCCACGCTCAATAGCACTAGGTCCAGCAACGTTAGAAGCTACAATATCGAAGCACTATTTTAATATTCAAAACAACTCTCATACTAACTATAAGGACTTACGATTTCTAAGTTAGAACATATTACATGTAACTTTATTCGAACCGTCAAGATTAATATGAACAGTATGAGACGAGTTCGGATCCAATGGCGAGCGCTCAGGAGAGACTAGGTCACCTTCACAAACAATCAATAACAACTAAGTCAATTTCCAAATAATAATTGTAATAGAAAAGTCCAAATAATAGGTAATAACAATAAACGGAGGGCTTCAAGTTGGAATTTGGCAACTTTGAAAACAAACTCATGACGTCAAAAAATATCAAAGTAGAGGTCTTCAAAAACAGTCAACGGTTTAAGTCAATAGTTAATGATCAATAAGTTTGGTCAACAATGAACGAGTCAGGTCAACAAGTTGGATCAAACTGGTTTATTGTTTGAACTGCCTGGACGAAGCCCACTCGCAAACGGTGGTGCGTGGGCTTATCCGATGGTTGGAAAATTACAAAAAATACAGAAAAATATTTTAAAGCATGAGGAGTCGCTTACTATTGTCGGTTTTTCGAAAAGATCGACGGTTATGGGGTTTTAAGAAAACCCCAATAATCATATCCTCACTGATTGCAAACAACAATGGCGAACAACAATCCAAGGACATTGGACGAATGGGGTCAAGAAGACGAACACAATGGTGTTGGAGTTGTCGCACACCATCACACAGTTAACGACCAATCAAAGAATAACTAAGACTAATGATAGTGAGAGAGGGAGAAATTGTTTCTCTGTTTTGCAGCACAAACGGGAAAAAGAAAAGAAAGAAAGGAAGAGAAAAAGGGTTTTACAATATTTACTTTTGGGTAAACTAAGACATTAGTCCCCTTACTCTTAAGAGCTAGTAAAAAGGCATAGAAATTTTTAAAGCCTTACAATTTAGTCCAACAAATTTGATATGTGACAATTAAAATTCAAAATTAACTTGGATAAAAATACATTAATAAAAAGTAAATTTTTGAATCAATTAAAAATAAAAATCTAAAACAAACCCTCCAAAGAAAATCTAAACAAAATTTAGAAATACTCAACAAGGCAATAAAGAAAACTGGTCATAAATCAAATAAGTGAAATTTTGAATATTCTAAAAAATCCAAAAAAAAATCAACTAAAGAACGAAATCCCAAAAGACTGAAAATTTCTAGTATTAAGAATAATGAAAAATGTGTTGGGTGATAAACCTTGTTCCTATATGGTTAAGAAATTTAAAAAACAACCAACGGGATTTGTTCAAGTGGTAAGTAACTTGATATCGTTTAAGCAAGTCTTGAGTTTTAGTCCTTTTATATACGAAAATTCTCGTTGATTTAAAACTTAAACATTTTGAAGCAATAGATAAGATTTAGCCAAACCAAAATAGATTAAGTATCTTAACACATCCACCAATCTAATCATTGAGACATGAAAGCCAGTGTGTAGGAAAATCAAAGAGGAGACTTAATCAAATTCAACCAACAAGAAAAATAAAAGATTTAAGGGTGAGAGTTTTGGGTTTTATTGTTTAGATTTAATATGTGATTTATTTCTTGTTTATTTTTTCATATAAATTTGATCTTTACCTTATAGAATTGATATTATAATGATCAATGTGTAAAGGTTAAAGGACTAACAATATTATTATATAAATTATTATTTTTTTATTATTTTTTTAAAATTATAGCTAAAAATATATTAAATGATTAAATTTACTGATCATGAGTGTAATTTACACGTTTTAAGAGATTGAGATCAAACCTTAATATGTTTTGAATGAACCAAGTGATCTCATTAGTTAAAGGATTATTGTTATCTCTTGAGATCTCGGATTCGAGCACGACATCTGTAAGGGTGTATAAACATTCATTGTCAAATAGTTGAGAGTCTTTCAAACATATATTACCTGCTATTCACTCAAGACAAATAAAAAAATATGTATCAAATTGAACAAAACAAAACACTCAAATACTAAAGTGATAGTTTTTTATGGGTAAAGTACACAAATGATCCCCTGACTATAGGATACTCCTTTATTGAGTCATCTGACTATTAAAAGTTACAAAATGGTCCCCTAACTATAGAGAGTTTTGTTGAGTCATTCGGCCATTAATAGTTACAAAATAGTCACATGACTGTTCATTTTGTTCCAAACTCGTCATTTTTTTTAAATTAACAGCAGTCTAAGTTGAACATTAACATACAAACTGAGATATGATAATCGTTTATGATTATGAGATCAAATTTTATCATAACTCAGTCAGCAGGTTAACACCCAACTTAGATTGTTGTTAATTTTTTTAATGAAAAATGACGAGTTTGGAACATAATGAATAGTCAAGTGAGCATTTTGTAACTTTTAATAGTTGAGGGACTCAATAAAGCAACTCTATATAGTCAAGGAACCATTTTGTAACTTTTAATATGGGACTCAATAAAGTAGTATCCTATAGTCGGGGGGCAATTATGTACTTTATCCTTTTTCTATTAACTAACATTTTACATGTTAACCCTTTGTCCATACCTTTTGAACAATTCGTGTCCCTAATGATCTCCAATTACGCACGGATTATTAGCCTCCTTTTATGTCTATCGGACCAATTACACCACATATTCGAGAAGTAAGCACATTTTCCCCTATAAATTGTAGGCCTTCCTTTCGCCCATCTTCTCCCATTCCACTACCTGTCCTTTGTTTTTTTTTTTAGAATCGAAAAGAAAAAAGAACAGAAAAGAAACATGGCAACCGCATTCTTCAATCAGTTTTTGGACTTCCTTCTTGTTCTTCTTGCCCTTAATTTCTTCATAGATATAAGCTTTGGTGGTAGGCAAATTGACCCAAAATCCAGCATCGAGTTCATAAAAACATCCTGCAGTTCAGCGACGTACCCTGACCTTTGTTGTCAAACTCTGTTAGGTCAGGCCAGCACGATCCAAAAAAGCCCGCAACTCATCGCCCATGCCGCACTAAACGTGACGCTTATAGACGTCAAATCGACAACCGAGTCGATGGTCCAACTTTCGCAAAGCCAACTATTGCCGGCCAAAGTGGGGCAAGCCATGCAGGTTTGCTTGAAGGAACTGAGCGATACCGTTGAAGCGCTGAGGAAGTCCGTCATCGAGATGGATAAGATTAAATCGTCAAATATTGGACCAATGGTGCACGATATTCGGACATGGGTGAGCTCTGCTTTGAATGATGAGAGCAACTGCACTGATGGTTTTGAAGGGGACAATATATCCAACGATGCAAAGACTTCTATAAGATCCCATATTCTCACAATTGCGCATTTGACAAGCAATGCCTTGGCTCTGGTCGAAGACTATGCTTCCCTTCATGGTTAGCTAGTTAACCGGAAACAATTGAAGTATGAGTTATACTAGCAACTAGATTTATATATTTTTACTAAGGTATATTGTCAAAAATAACCCCCAACGTTTACCAAAATGATCATTTTGACCCATATTTCTTTTACAATTTTGGTCTCAATATTTCACTTTGGGGCAAAAAGCTTCCTCTATAGATGAAAAATAATAGTTACACAATGGTCAAATACAATGCTCAAAATAATTTTAAAAATTGTCTCTTTATTTAAGTTTTTCTTTCGCAAAACATAAACGATTATGTTAATTCTTAAGCGATTCTATACATAACAATTTATTATTGTTGATTTAATTTATTAAATTTTAAATTTTTCCTACAAATAATTTACTTTAAAAATGGATTAAAAAAAATTATGAACATTACTGCTAGATATATCATATGAAATTATCCTAAATCTTAATTTATTTATTTTTAAAGAAAAGCGAGTCTCGTTAAAAATTTTAGGGAAAAAGAGTGCTCAAAATTAGTCATGATAAACGGTAACAGTTCACCGATACAAACTCATCCAACAAAACAAATCCTAGGAGAATACTACCCAAGAGAGCTGCTAACTACACACAGCAGATTACAAAAACCAACCAAAAATCCCCAAAACGACACAAACGAGACAATCAGGGAGCCACAGAAAACTTTCCAATTTACTGCACCAACCCAACCCCAACAATCAACAGGAAGACACTTACAACAACAATGAAACAAGCTCGGATTGAAGCGAGCAGCCACAAACAACCAGCAACTAAGACCCCAATATGGACCTCAAATCGGACCATAATAGAATAAGACAAAACACCACTTGAAATGAAAGAATGCCCATATCGACTACAATGTGAGAAAAATGGCAGCAAAACAACCCAGATAGCAGCTTCCCAGATAGAGAAATAAAGAACAAAACCGAAACATACCCAATGGAAAAGAAACAACCACGATTCTGCACAATAGACGACAGAAAGCACCCAATTACCCAAGGCAGCAACCAAATTTATGAACCCCAAGAAACCGCTCAACCTTTGCTCCAACACACAAGACAGACTGATCTATGCACACACAAAAAACCCAGAAACCAGTGCAATATGAACAAAAAATGAGTCCTCAAAAGAATTTATTTTTAAAGACATTATCTATCGAAACCAACGCAGGATCCTCAACAAAATTGTTCAAGGATATAATCTTATGAGGCCAAATACTCTTACACCACCAGGCAATCCTGGCAATAAAGATATAAAAAAATTGATTTTCACCGATAGATTTACCGTTAAAGACCACTTGTTTGTATAGTGAGATTAAGCACTAGATTCTTTAAGCATGGTCATGGGTTTGAACCCTGATTTTTGTGAATAAAGTAAAGTACGTTGGGAGGGTCGCCCTCGTCTATACAATATTTGATATGGATTAGTCGATCATTAGATCAGATACAAGTGATTAATTAAAAAAAAACCACCTCGTTACAATACAACCAAACCAACTAGGCTAGTCCTTGGAACGCCACCAACCATACTAGAAAAGAAGCAGATCGAACATGGCAGTTTAACCACAAAAGATTTCAATTCCTTAGGCATAAGTAAATGAACATTCCATAATTTACAAAAGCAAAGCCAAAGCCTCCAAGACACTGAGTAATGACAGAACAAGTGAGCGACGGTTTCTTCAACAACTTTGCAAAGAGGGCATAGCACTTGGTCGTGAGAAATGATGCCTCTCAAGTAGAGTTCTGTTTTTGAAGGCAAATCTACCAAAAAGAAATCTCCAAGAAAAAAATTTTGTACTTTAGGGGGGATACCCAAACTTTATCCTCAACCAAGACAGGGGAAGCAGAAATATCACAAAACTGCTTCGAATTATATATCCGTTTCAAATTTACCTGCCATTTTAAGGAATCCTGACCCGAGCTCTTGACCGAAGAATTATTCAATAGCCCAAGGAAATTGTCCCAGAACCTTTTTTCCCAATCAAAAAGACGCCTCCTTAAAGGAATCGACCATTTCCATGAGTCGTTTAATACAAACCCGAACTCACAGACTTTTCCATCCTTCTTTGTCGTCAAATGGAAAATTCGGCGAAAGAGATCTTTAAGAGGAGACTCACCAGTCCAGAAATCTAAAAATTTCCATCACCCAACACAGGACGAAGATTATTGACAAATATTGTATCGTTCGATAGTATTGGTTTGACAATTGATTTCCACACCAAAGGATTGTCTTTCACAACGGCTTCCGACAACAACGAGTTTATAGAGTGATTACTCTTAGCACAAATGACTTTCTTCCAAAGGCAGTCCCGCTCGCACCTGAAATGCCATATCCATTTATTTAGGAGAGCACGATTCTTAATTCTTAAGTCAACGAGGTCTAAACCCCCTGTTAATGATTTGCACATATTCTCCCACTTTACCCAATGAATTGTTCTTTCATCTACCTTACACCAAATGAATTTTGCAGTCATCTTATTCATTGAAGAGCTGATGGAAGAAGGCATTTGAAACAAAGATAGGTAGTACATAGAAAGATTATTCATCACAGACTTGATTAAAGTCAGCCTACCCCCAGAAGACAATGTTTGACCCTTCCAACTAGCAAGCCTATTCTTAAACTTGTGAACAACCGGATTCCAAAGTGAGGTATTATTTGCAGCTGCTCCTAACGGAATACCCAAATAACTCGATGGAAGAGACCCCATGCAGCAACCAATAGAAGTTGATAATGAATTCAACGCATCCTCAGAGATATTAACTCCAAATAAGTTCGTCTTCGTTAAATTAAGTTTCAACCCTGCAATCAGCTCGAATGATCTTCTCTTAATATTTTTAACTTGGGGCATATCAGCCATTGCAAAGATGATTAAGTCATCGACAAATTGAAGGTGTGACATCGAAAGCCCCCCACCAAGAGAAATGCCATTAAAGAGGCCAATATTTACTGCCTTCTTCAAATCCAAATTAAGGCCTTCATCAACAATGTTGAAAAGGTGAATTGAGAATCACCAATGACTTCACCAATGCAAAACGAAAGACACCTAACAAAGACCCTCACAAGAATTTTGTACATGTTGCCAATGAGGCTAATAGGAAGAAAATCATCAAAGACTAGAGGGGATGACTCTTTTGGGATTAAGGTAATGAACGAGTAGTTTAGAGCCATATCGAAACTGTTTTCTTCATAGAAATTTCTGAAAAAGTCCATCACCTCGTTTTGTACAGAGCCCTAATATTTTTTGAAAAAACAGATATTGAACCCAGGGTTTCAAATCGCGGTCGCGTTTTCGGTTATTTTGGAGTTACCGTGATTGCGACCATCACGGGTAACTCGGACGACGGCGAAACATCTATATCGCGGCCAAAATCGCGGTCGCGGACCGTTTTTTAAAACCCTTTAACCTATCAGATCCAGGCGCGCAAGAATCATCGATAGTGGAAATTGCTGCCCAAACCTCTTATTTGGAGAATGACATCTCAAGAAAAAAACCAACTCAGCATGAAGATGACTAAAGCTTACGTCCTAATTCGCCAATTTTATTGTATTACTTTCATTGAAAGTGTGCTTGAAGTGTGTAAACACTAATTTTTCATTTTACTTAAATTATTTAAATTATTATTTTTAAAATTATTATTATTATTATATATATTATTAATATTATTAAATTAAATATTACAAAACCCTAAACCCATTTACAAAGCCCATTTACTACTGGCCCAGACCAAAATGAAACCCTAAACATTTGGGGTTTCAACTAGGGTTTCTAAACCCTAGCACTCCAGCCGCCTCTGATGCTTCCAGAAAGCCAGCCGCCGCCTCTGCCAGGTGGTCCAACGTCCAGCTGCCAACACTCCAGTGCCACGCCACCTCGCCGCCGAAGCCTCTAGAAGCTCTGCTGCCACGACTCCGACCGTCCACGTTGTTGCCTATGGTGAGTCACCACCATAGTTATGGTGACTCACCGAAAGCTTCCTAAGGGACCGGTCCAACAAAAGCCTCGGTGGTGGCTATAAAAGCCACCACACCTGCAAAATAAAAAAAGGAAGGAGAAAAAAGTAGAAAACCCGAGAGGAGACAACCACGGAGAGCAACAAAAAGGAAAAGAGCAACCAAACAGCAAACAACCATTCGAAAAAGAAAAGGAAAAAGAGCTGCGTACCTTCGGAGAACCCAAACGTCGCTGGAAAACATTATATAAACCGAGGTAAATCCTTCGGTTATAGCTTAGATATATCGATTTTGAGAGGGTTTTAGGCTTAAAAGAGGTTAGATCTAGGTTTTGGTGGAAAAGAGAGAAATTTCGGGGTGATTTTAAATATTCCGGCCACCGTGAACGGTTGTCGGCCGGGACTGAGTTCTCTCTGGCGAGAGAATGTAGAGAGAAGCCAAAGAGAACTCTGGTTCTATCATTTTAGAGATAGAGGAGGGAAAGAAGAGAATGAGGAGAATGGCCCGAATGGCCGGTTTTTGGGCTTAAAAACCCCTCCCCGAAATTGACTTTTATGGGGGAGGGGTATGTCTATAATTTCACCACTGGACAAACCCTTTCCGCGGCCCTTCAGGTTTTGTAAACAATTCATTTTAGTCACTGAAATTGACTTTTATGCCATTTAATTCGTTATTTAAATTTTGTGTTTATTATAATTTAGTCACTACAATAAACTTCCATATATTTTAATTTAGCCTCGTAATTTTATTTTATATTATTTTAGTCCTTTCCAGTATAATTACATACTTTAGGGTAAATAACCGATTTAGTCCCTTATTTTTTAATTAATATTTATTTTAATCTTGTATAATTTATATAGGTTAAATTACATTGTTAATATTTATGTTTTATAATATTTCGAATTGGAGCTCTTAATTTTAATAATTGACATTTTAATCATTGATTAATAATTATATAGGTTAAATTACTATTATTAATTATATTTCAAGTTATGTTCATTAATTTAGATAATTTATATTTTAATACTATAGGATTTTTTTTTCATT